CGAAAGGGCCGCGCGGGTGCTGATCCCAACCCTCGTGCTGATGGTCATGATCCTGGCGGTCCGCGCCGTCACCCTGCCCGGTGCCGAGCAAGGCTTGGCCTTTTTGTTCACCCCGGATTGGTCCCAGCTGGCGTCGCCGAGGATTTGGCTCGAGGCGCTGACCCAAAACGCTTGGGATACCGGTGCCGGCTGGGGCTTGATCCTCACCTACGCCATCTATATGCGTGCCCGTGAGGACGTCTCCCTCAACGCTTTCTTGATCGGCTTCGGCAACAACTCCATGTCGCTGCTGGCCGGTATCATGGTGCTTTGCACGGTTTTTGCCATCAATCCCCAGGCCCAGAGCGAGATCGTCGGCGCGGGCAACGAGGGTTTGACCTTCATTTGGATGCCACAGCTTTTCGCCGCCATGCCCGGTGGCGCGATCTTCATGGTCTTGTTTTTCGCCGCGCTCTCCTTTGCGGCCATGACCAGCCTGATCGCCATGCTCGAGCTGGCGACCCGCATCCTGATCGACGCGGGGTGGAAGCGGAAGCAATCGATCCTGATCGTCGGAGKCGCGGGAATCGTTTTTGGCGCGCCCTCGGCTCTAAAGATGGAGATCTTCCAGAATCAAGATTGGGTTTGGGGTGTCGGTCTGATGCTCTCGGGTCTCTTCTTCGCCCTGGCAGCGCGAAAATTCGGTCTCGAGCGCCTGCGCCGAGAGGTGGTCAACGGCGACGGCTGTGACTTGCCGATCGGCCGCTGGTGGGTCTTCATGGTCGGCATCCTGGTGCCCGTGGAAGCGGTGGTTTTGCTGGTTTGGTGGTTGCGGGATTTGGGACCCGGTTGGTGGGAGCCTTTCGCGACCTTCAGTGTCGGCACCGTATTGGCGCAATGGGCGGTCGCCCTGGTGGTGCTGCTGGTGCTCAATCGCTGGTTGGCGGCGAACAGCTCGGCCGGTAACGACCTAACCCAACAAGGGGAAGCACAATGAGCAGCGATATGAGCACGTTGGCTTGGATCACCATGGCCGTTATTTGCGGCACGG